TATGTGTTTGTACCCGAACCGTCCAAGCCTTCGATAACGATTAGGGGATGTTTCCTCAAATTTTCACCTTCATTTTGGTTTAAAGTGTCTTTTTTCGCGTTTTTTACGGTATTGTATATATCCCATAGTTTATTAACAGGTTCCAAATGTCTGTACTAAAGAATTTAATTTCGTAACAATGCATATCTACTAATGTTAAAAGAAATAATAAACATACCTTGGGATCATTTAAGAAATTCCGAACTTCTTCAAACTTATGAAAAATCATAGCCATTTGGCTTCTCTTGACATATAACTACGAACTATTAAAATTTAATTGAATCGTTGATATTCAATACGTCAGTACTACGCGAACATACGACGAGAGAGTCACCTTTAAAACTGGGGAAGTACCAGTAGATTTTAGAGTGTTTGAAAACGATAAAATTCATTTATAAAGATAAAAGTGTCTATTTATTTCAGTGGTTATTTGTAAACAAGTTTAGTTGCGTTCAACGTGCTTTAGTTCACTCAGAGCAATTGTTTAAACAAATGTAGAAGCGCGCTAAAATTGAATAAAAAAAAAAAAATGCTCACGGACAGTACGTTTGTCAGTAGTCGATAGTACTTGAAGCTAAGTGACTCTACTTGAAACCATTTTCATCTTAACTAACAATTTAAACTCTTAGTGCGTAACTTATTTATAATTTTATAATGTTAAACACCTTCGAAAAATTTCAAATATGGAGTCAGGGGTTTGAGATATTGGGGTATAGGTTGATATACCAGTTAGTCAGTCTATCCTTTCTGAAAGGACTTTTCATATATATGCATAAATTTAAAAAATAATAAGTAGTCTATTTTATAAGAACTGAAGAGAAGAAAATTGGCAATTTATTTGAATATTCTTGGTTGACCCATTTCGATAGAGATTCCCCAATTCCAGGGGGATCTAAACCTAGACCTCACCCTTAAAGGGTGTAGTATCATAAAAAACACAAAACGTACTTATTTCATTTATTATAATTTTATTAAGGAAATGTGTTTTTATTAAGTACTTTCTCGGAAGATATTTTACTCTAAAGGCCACAACTCGTCGAAGGAGAATGTTTCGTAAACGCGATTGAGAAGGTTGAGCAAAATGTCTCTTGCTGTTTTTAACGCAATAGGCTTAATATCTTGCATTAAGAGATCCATATTTTCGTTGATAACTAGGTTTGTATTTTCACTAATTTCTGGATTATTGGGAAAGATGTTATTTAAATGAATAATTGCTTTGCCAATATCAATGTCAAAAATATCTTTTTCGAATTTTAGGTGTTCCTTTTCGTTCTTTTGGTATTTTTTCATTTTTAGTTTTGCCGTTATAACCAAGTCACCTAAAACAAATAAAACTTAACGTAAAACACAGAAATGTTGATTATCATAAGGAATATAAAATTAGTAACAAAATAGTTTTGTCTTCTTATTTTTCTTCTAAGTTAATCTTTTGGAATCAGAATCGTGGTGGATCGGCTATAAAGAACTGTGGAATTGCAACTTACTTAAATATTGCATAATCTATAACTTTTCACTCTAACATTAGTTGCCAAAAATATAGATAATAATTTGGTTTTGACCAAAGATTGTTTATTAACTACACAATTCAACAAAATAATTCGAAGTGGTCTGTGTTCCGTCGAAACTCGAAACTGCCAGACGCGGATCGCGATTTCGATCTTCTTGGATCTCATCAGCGCGTCGCAAACAGCTCTGACAGAACACAGACCAACCTTTACCAGCTGTCTTAACAGCGCGTTTTAGAAAATACTACAAATAGTGTGGTAAGCGCCATCTGTAGTATGATGCTACATTTGAGGATTACATATGCCCCAACAAGGTCCATTTAAAAATATGGATATCTACTTGCTGAAACGAATCCCGGCGTAGCTCACCTCAACGTGATAGGCACGTTACCATAATCGAATAAAATTATTCGAAGTGGTCTGTGTTCCGTCGAAACTGCCAGACGCGGATCGCGATTTCGATCTTTTTGGATCTCATCNGGAACTGCCCGCCCACCAGCATTACTGGCTGGTGGGAATGAAACACCCAAAAGTTTTTTTTTTTTCGAAATATGTAGGTTAGTAGTCAGACATATTAGAGGCACAAACAGGAGTTAAGAGGAGTTGAGGTAGATCTAGATTAGATTACTGTTCGCAAACAGTTAAGGATGTGGGATATTCTAGTTTTAGGGAAATGCGAAGATAGGAAAGAGTGGAAGTGCGTGTCTAACCAGTCTGTGAACTGACGACCGTATGATGATCACGATTATAAAGAATAGGAGAACAAAGAACTCTATGGAAGTCAATAAGAAATATGCGAGATAGGTTGGTAGGATACCTTCTAAGGTATGATGGTTTAGTCAGACATTTTAGAGGTAGAAACAGGAGTTAAAAGGAATAGAGGTAGACGTAGATTAGATTATTGTTCGTAAATAGTTAATGATGTGGGATATTCTACTTTTAGGGAAAAGCGAAGGTTAGCTCAGGGTAGCAAAGAGTGGAGGTGCGTGTCCAACCAGTCTAGGGACTGACTATCTTATGATGATGATGATGATGATGATGATGATTACATATGTGCATACTATAAAGTGAGGCATTCCAAGATATGCTGCTGAAAAATTAACAGGATTATGTAGGGAACACACAAGTGAAAAAAATAGATTTGCTTATCTTACTGAATGTAGCTTCGGCTTTTCCGCTGCTATCAATATCCAGGATCAGAATTTTTCCTTTTATTCTATAATTTGTTACCATATTAATTTTTGGTATATAAATCACTGTGTGACATTCTCCTGCGTCAAAATCTTGACTGTGGTTCTTAATGACGAAATCCTTGCCACCGTAAAAAGTCATGTTGGTGAATTCTGCATCAACGCCTAAAGAGGCTCCTGTATAGTTGGTCACTGATATTTTGGGTATAACCATAGGGTCTATTGGAGACAAATTCAATTCGGGTATGCCTTTTGCTAAGCGGGGTCGAAGTTCGTTTACGACTTTTATAAAACATTCCGATAAGTGTGGGTCGTTTCTATAGCATCGGTGAACGAACGAGGCTTAAAAATTAATTAACAAGATAAACAATCATAATAGACAATCAATAATTAAAAATATTAAATCAAAATATTTATCAGAATAGATGAAAATCAATGAGTAATGAAACAAAAGTTTCTGATCAGTGATCTAATGGATAAATTTCGATCCCTTTGGATATCATCAGTGCGCCGTAGACAATTCCCGAGAGAACAAGGACCAGTTTGCTTATTGTTCGAACATACAGATCTCCTGAGGAGAGGTTAGGAAGGCTGGAAGAAGGGGACATCAGGGAGGGAGGAAGAAGGGGATATCAGGGAGGGAAGAAGAAGGTATTGGAAATGGGGACGAAAAATAAATATGATATAGGGAGAGGAAGAGGGCTTTGTAGATATTAAACATAAATCAAGAGCAGGTGGGGGAGTGGTTGAGGGATGGGGTCAATATTGATAAGAAATAGATGCAGGGAAGTGATAAGGGGAGAGGATCTAAGAAAAATAGGGGAATCAAAATATATTGTAGAGCTGAGGCAGATTTCGTGGAGGGTGTAAATTTTGGAATGCAAATATATGACAGAGAGGTATAATCCTAGACATGGTACCCAAATCTTAGAAAGTTTACAAAACATATTGAACTTATTGTTAATTGTTAATAATATATTATACTTACGAATTTTTTTTGAAGAAACGCCGCACGCTACAAACAACACGAAAATAACACTTATCCCATAAAGAGCCTTCATGATTTTATAAGCACGTACGAAGTTGATATTTCGCTTTTCAATTACTTAATAATGGCTTTATTGGTGCAAATTTACATCTAAGTACAAATTGCAAAGAAAGCTTGTTTTTCTATATACAGGCCATCCCTACCTTTTCCCCTTGCATCTTATTTTTTTTTTACGTTTTTCATAAAAATATTTGTGCATCAAGCTGTTCAAGGAGAACAACGTTAATTATACATAGGTACAATTTTACTATTTTTTTTATAACTTGTTTATGTAAATTGCGCGATTTTATAATGATATAGGTAATGGAAACATTATTTTTTCCATTCAATTTGTTGAAATTGTTGTAGATCGAGCGTGTACGTATTTGTATGTGTGCGTGTTACATGAACATTTATGCGATGATTAAACTTTTCTTCACGGTTTTCACATTCAAGTAAATATACCTGTGCCTATATTTAGGCGTTACAGGTGAAAAATAGTGGAACAGGAAGAAAATTTAGACTAAAATAGCAAAACAGTATCATCACTAAATACATAGGTAGATATTTTTATAGTCTTTATTCTTTTTTTATTTAATATACTTGACTTCACGCTCACCTTGTTCACTAATGTTTCATGAAAAACATGATGTAAGGATAAATTGTTAATTAGATCAATTAAAACAGAAAAATCATCTGAAATACTTAGGATACTAGTTTTAGTCTCAAAACAAAATAAAAACAGTTTCTGCTTTAAATTGTTTTTGTGATAAATTAAATATTAATTGTATTTGTCATTTGTTACACTTTATGATAAATACCTATGTTGATCTTTCTTGTGACAAGAAGATGAACTGTGGTGATTAAAATTAAAAATTGGCATTGAAACAAAATAGGCCCTAAATGTCATACATCCAGTTAAAAACGATAAAGTTTAACAATTTTTAAAATCATCAATAATCGTGCATTCTTAAAACTGCTTTTTTATTTTTTGTCTTTAATATTAAGCGTTTATCTTGTCTTACTGCCAATTTGTAACAGTTTTACCAAATCAAATTTTGCAGACGTGTCTCCTACAATTAAGTATTTACTAAATTTCTTGGGCAAATTAACTTTTTCCATGCTTTAACATCGGAAATCCCGAGCAAATTATTTATAATCGCAATAAGGGAAAATGTTATTTAGGATTTAAGACTTCTGTGCTTAACGATAAGCATATTCGGTTATCAAATTCGTCAAAATTTCGGGACTATGTTGTTAGTTTCAGTTACATTGGCTAGTAAGCTTTAAATTTAGTTTTTATTTTTAAAAGAAACGACAAATAAAAGTAATTTATTATTTGTCGATTATGATATAAAATTAATTTTGAAGGTTACTTACGTATATGGTATTAATTCCATGACTTGTTTAATAAAGTGTTTTCCCAGGTAAAATTGATGTGTAAAAGTACTACTCATATGCTTACATTAAAAACTTTGCTCTTTTTAATTAAACGAAGGAACGAAGCACGTATAAATGTTACTACTTAATAATTTAATTAAAATCTACCCAAATGCGTGAACAAATAATTTCACAATACCTGTAGTTTAAGCAATTAAGGAAAATTACAATTCCTTTTATTAAACTTACTCTGTAAAAAAACAAATTATTAAATTGAATTCGACATAATACAATTAATAGCCAGAGAATGGGTTACAAACCTGTACCATCGATAAAATACAAATTTTAGTAGCATTTACCTCAAAAGTCGTATCTAAAACCTAATGTAACTTATGTTGGACAGAGTAGACTTAAGTCTCTCTCAATAAGAATTAAAGAACATATTAATAATAGTGTAAAAGAAAACAGAACATCGGCTTTTTTGAACACTTCGTCGATTTAGAACTTGATATAAAACTTTACGTAATACCAGCAACATTTTAAACAATTTATCGAAAAAACTAGAAATTAAGAAAGCTCTAGGCAACACTAAAATTGGTTAACAATCACAATGATTATTACACCTATAAACGTTTCAAATTTTGAATTATACATAGGTAAGACAAAATAATGATGCCGCCTTTTGATGATTGCACGTAACAGAATATCCCTATGTTCGATTTTCAACTCGCCGGTGGTGTATATTGTTGCACTCAGTTGGTCAAACATCCACTGTGTGCTTTCTTAATTTAATCTTTATTTTCAAGGGATTGATTGGGTTCATAGTGGTGGACATTTCTTTGCAGGTATTTATATTAAAAATATATTGCATACGGTAAAAAAATAGTTTACTTATATGCATGTACAAGTGGTTCAACTTACGGAAGACTAACGTACAGTCCAATTCAATGTAAAATACTATCTAGCACTAAGTTATTTACACGTCATAGAGAAAGTTCTCAAATAGGGGCAGTTCGCTCCAGAAACGTAATCTGTTTGTAAAAAAATTATTTTCAGTGAAAATTTGACCCCGTGTTTCATACGAGCCAGTCATGTTCAGATAACAGAAATCCGTGTAACCGTTCAACTCTTTATTACATTTGTTAGCCGAAGGCCAACGTATAAAACAATACGGTTGTGGAATCCTGTAAAAAGGTAAGTAGCAATTAACCATTTCTTCTTCTATTAAATTTAATTGTTGGAAACAAAGTTGCAATAAGGGTTGCAAAAGTTTATAATTGGGAAAACTCCACCGACGTTTCAGCTTTTCATATTTTGAAATATATGCGTGAAATCGTAATTTCGATAAATTATCGATCAAGAAAATAATATTCGAGATTTTAATCGAGAATTTAATGCCCAAAATCACGTTACTTTAGTTCATTTACACATAATATCAAGTTAAATGTCCTGGTAGCGTTAAAAATATCATTTATTTGAGTACTTACCCATATTTTGCAAATCTAGCCCATGCTTTGGTCATGAAGACATTGATTTGCATATCGTTACTGTCATATTTCAGTGGCTTGAACAGAGCCGGACTCGAAAATAGATACAGCAAATCATCGCAATGACACACTCCTAAAATTTCAAAAATAGATACTGTTTAATGATATAGGTACATCAGACACATAAACGTAACACTGGGCAAAGCACATGATGTTTTCTGTACAAATGTAGCATGTAATATATATATATATCACATGTACAGTAACTATCTCATTTAATAAATAATCAAATAACGTTGTAGATGGTTAAATAAATTTAAAAAATAAAAATAAATATTCACCCCAGTCGATCAAGTCCTTGCCTTCGTTTGTTCTTGCAAAATGATCAACGTAGGAGTATTCTCCTTTATAATTAAATGAGTAAACCCAAATGGGATGTAGGCCCGTAGCCAAGTGCAAATCAATTGCTTTGTAGCCAGGATAATTGAAAAATCTATCGCCATACAGCTGTAAATGCGTTTAAATCCGTCGTTAAAATATAATTTTCCTGTTGTCATATAAAATGTATGTACATTGATAAAACCTTGTAAAGTAGAAGGCTGCGTGACATTAATTGTGTTTCCTTCTAGGTAGAAATCTTTTATTTTCGTCCATACGAAATCAGTTTGATTAGGAAACGTACTGAAATTCAAACCTAACAGCTGTGGACAATAACTGTCAAAATTCGATATAAGTTCATTTCTTAACGACGACTTACGAAGTAATTCTAAAAAATAATTAAAAATATAAATGATAACGAGTTTCCTTTATGCTCAAAGTAGTGGATTTTTTGAAGAGAGTTGTGAACAGTTATGGAATGATTTTTACTTTTTGTATTACATTCTATTCCTTAATTTTTACGGAAATACAGTCTTTATCATCAATACTTTATGTATAAGCATCTATTTTTTAAATACCTGCTGCTGTGATAAGTCCTTCGTTTTGAACAAAACCGACTATCCAAGGAACATTGTTGAAATTCCTCGATTTGATAATTTCTATGGGATCTTGGGTTATAAATGGGTGCGGGTTTAGAGAAGTACGTTTTTCAATACTAGGCATAAATACAACCGACGGTTGATCTCCAAAAAACTACAATTGAAAAAAGATTTTCCATTTTTCTCTTTTAAAAAGTGTAAAGTACTAATGTAAATACAAATAAATTAAAAGTTTTGAAGATAATAGATTGTATAGGCAGTAGCCAGCAATAATTTTAACTGAGCTGGACTAATCAATGCAATTTTTGGTCTATGTTGGGCTAGAAAAAAGTTTGAAAGCCGAACTAAATACTTTTAACAATAATAAATAATTATTAGTTCATTTGTTACGACTAGTTACCCCATACATTTTAATGTTTCAACGTGTAAAAAGAAGAGTTTTCAAAACAAACACTTAAATTGTTATCAAATCTCCATTGCAAATACAAAGTAACTATGAATTAAAGTCAATTAATTGTGAAATAACCATGTCAACGTCATTTTTGTAAAATTGCAATTATTTGTAACCATACTGAATATCGGAAATATGTGTACAGCAAGTAATTATTTACAAATGAGTATGTACCCCGTGTGAAAGTCACATTGTGGAAGTATAATTAATTGAAGAAAACTACAGTAGGTAACAATCAATTAATAAGTAGCGTAAATTAATATTCAAAGCTTTGTTTAATGAGAAAGGTTTCATATAGACATATATACGTCTAATTCACAAATGGTCACATTACCTTGAAATAGTCAACTGATTTTACTAAAACGCGAGCATCAATGTTTCTTAAGCAGTCAACAAGGGCACTCGTGTTGGCATTACCGTCACATCCAACAAACGCAGCCTGCGCCCTCGCTACCAAAAGAGGGATTTCTGGTAACGGTCTTGCGAACGCTGATAAGGCTGTACCAGATTGAGAAATAGCTCTGTGAAATAGACCTAACAAATAATAAAGGAATATCAAGCTGCAGTCTTTCCAATATTTTCATACTAATAAATGTGTGTGAATGGTCTTTGGTCTTCTAATCAAATTAAATCTAATAGTACAGTTTGATTCGAGATTGTAGCTACGTGTATTTATCACCCAATTATTCTACACAATTTTACTCGATTCGATAGAATCATTAGGAAGTATTTTCAGGATTGAAAATAAATCTAGAACTATTTAAATACAAATACAAATTAGGCATTTTCTGTAATTTTGCATTTTTTATTTGTATTTTAACGGTTAATTTAATTTAGAATTTCGAAAAAGGTTGTTAAAGGTGTATGTTTGGAGCACGGTGCTGTACGAGTGCGAAACATGGACAGTGGGCGAATGATGAAGGTACCGTGGATAGAGAAGGTTAGAAATGATCAGGTACTAGAAAGAGTAAGAGAACAGTGGACTTTATGGAAGATAGGTTAGTAGGACACCTTCTTAGGCATGAAGGTCTAGTCAGAGACATATTAGAGGCAGAAACGGAAGTTAGGAGGGGTAGAACTAGACCTAGATTGGACCAGTCTTAGAACTGACGACCTTATGATGATGATGAAGTTAAAGGTTCACTAAATGATAATCGAATATGTATTAATATAATTTTGTGTGTGTTTCTATCCATATTGTTTGAACCAACGATTTGATAGTCCTATTAATATCGTGTGCGGAAATTCCTTAATACATTTTGTCAATTTACCTTTTGATAATGGACTAAGCATATGCAAATGGACGCTAGCCGCACCAGCACTTTGTCCAAAAATGGTAACCCTGTCCCTGTCTCCCCCAAAATAACAAATATTATCCTGAACCCAATTCAAAACTGCAGTCTGATCTTTGAGAGCCCAATTTCCAGGGGCAACGTCATCATTTGTACTTAAAAAACCTAAAATAAAGGTAAATAAAACAACTGAGAGACGTCCATCAGTAAGTCGAACGTATGTACAATTCATTCAGTGGCGTATCTGATCAGGTAACAGCCCCTCTCCCCCCCCCCC